AATTTTTAACCCAAAAGTTGGGTTAGTCCAAATTTGACCCAAAGTTGAGTTGAAATAACCCAGCATTTTTTAGAGTGCGTCTGTGTAAAAACATCTCTCTTTATAAATACTGCACTGAGAATTCACTGAAATATAGAAAATAAAAAACACCTTATCATCTGCAAAAACTGTCTCGTCATAAACGACAGGTCCTGTCAAGTTACTTCCTGGGATGTCTTTAGCAGAGATAAATGCAACCACTCCAGGAACTGCCAATGCATCAGAGGTGTCAATGGATCTACAAAGAGAAACACATACACACATAGTTAACACCTAATCATGGGTAATCATTGTCTCAGGTCACAACAATCAAGTTCAAAACTGAACCTTTTTATGACACGTGAGTCATAAAAACAATGTAGGTTCTCTTTTACAACATCAATGTGCATATGAAAAGTCATATACTTAGCTTTAACCCAACACTAAATCATTCCAAAACATGACGTGTGTCTTTTTCAACTAACTTTATGAGTGCGTGAGCTTTAATGCTGGTGACCAAAGCCAAATGGAGCTCATTTTCATAATAGGGGATGTCGTCACAGTAGATCGCCTCTCCTGTGGCATGCTTAAGTGCAGAGAGGTGCATGATAGGGTGACCCACAACATCATCATTATTATGTCCGGGGGGAACTGCCTGAAAACAAAGAAATAAAGTTAAGCAATCAGCAAACACATAGTGCACAGAGAAAGTTGCTAAATGCCTGTTTATGTGTACCTGGTAGAGCTGTACACTGGATGGTGAGTCCAACTGGAAGAGCTCAGTAGCAGTAGCATATTCGGCTCGGACGTCTTCCACAGTCACACCCTGTAGAGTTTACACAGTTTACAACTAACCCTAAAATAGTCATGTGACCAGAAAACATACAGTCCTGGACTGTTAGAAAGTAAAAAACAAAAAAGGGGAGTAGAATCTGTGTCCAAAAATAACTTGAACATATTTGCAAATTGCAAAAAAAGCCATATAATAGCAATTAAAATGTATTTATTTTTATTTAAATAATTTAAATTACTTTTATTTTGGAGCTAAGTAGAATTTTACAAACTCTTGATTGTGTAAGTGTGGAAAACACAGTATTAAAAACCTCCATCCGCAGGTCCAGAGCCAGTTTGTGCTGGACAGTGAGGAAGAACTTGTAGAAGAGGCTGATAGTCAGTGTGCGTCTATATGTCACCATCCCACCAGGAGCTGAAGGAGACAGACTCATCTCCTCAGCCAATGACGTGCAGGCTTGCTCGAGAAGCTCCTCGTTCCATTGTCTGCAATCAAATAAAGATTGTGAAACTGATGCATTTACTCTGTCGTGATTATTGAATGAGGCTGAATGTCAGAAAAGAATATTATAAATTTGCTAGAAAACCTGCCGGGCATCATCCTCTACCTGTTGAGTAACCTGTTGCATGTGGCCGTGGCAAGGACAGTGACAGGGGCCATTCCTCCATAGCTTATCCGGATACTCTGCACTATATTGGATTTCTCCTTGAACAATACATTCATCCCACATGTGACAATGGCGATGTCGTCCTCTTTGCGAGGGGACTGTTTGAAAGCTGAGAAGTACTGGCCCTAAAACACACATTGACAGAGTGACTCCAAATGTAATCTATTTCATGTGAAATATGAATCAGATACAATACTGTTCAAAAGTTTTGGTAGATAAGATTTTTTTTTAAATGAAGTTTCTGTTGCTCACCAAGTCTGCACTTTTTTCAAAAATACAGTAAAACATTAATATTGTGAAACATTATTCCAATTGAAAATAATCAATGTTTTAAACTCTAATTTATGATGGCAAAGCTGAATCTTTAGCAGTCATTACTCCAGTCTTCAGTGTCACATTTGATCAATTCAATGTATCATTGATGAATAAAAGTATTTATTAAAAAAAAATCTTACTGACTTTAAACATTTAAACAATGCAAATTCTGTCATAATTTACTCTCCTTCATGCTGTCCGACTCCCAAACCATTTGACTTTCATGGAATGCAACAAGTTTGAATATGTACATAGTAAGTAAATTATGACAAAATTGACATTTTGGAGTATCAATCACAGAATGTTTTTCGAATGCAGACCTTTCTTGTGTATGGAATATCAATGGACAACAGAATCTCCTCTGACTTCAAAATGGTCTTCCTATAACCAGGGAAGAACTTGTCATCCATTTCGAGAACACGTTTCTCCCCTTTAAACATCAGACAGAGATTTTTTATAGAATTTCGAAAACATACATTGAAAGTTTAAGTCATTAATCAACTGTTGTCATAAATTATGCAGAACAAAGATCATGGACACATATATGTTATGAGTATATGTTACTCGGCTGTTACATTGTACTGCGAAAGTCCTGTTTACCATAGCTTTCAGTATCCCTAACCCCTTCCCTATGCACCACAATCATCCAATCAGCTGTAAAACACTGGGAAACTATACAATTATTTAAAAGTATCCCTAATTTAGACTTTTAGAAATTACCGACATAATATTCAGACTTCAGCAGGACTATATGAAAAATGACTGCACACTGTGGAATAGGATATCATAGGATATTGCCTGTTTTCTCTACATAAACTGCCCCTGTATTCTGTGTCAGATCATGAAATTTATAACCTTTGATCCTTGAACAGAAAAAAAAAAAATGTTGCACCTTTGGACATCACCGTCAGCTTGCAGCCAGCTGCCATAAACACAGGGTTTAGGTCTGAAATGGGACTTGCTGTCATAATATTGCCACCAACAGCCTGAAAGCAAAAATATGATTATACTTTTAATCATTCAGAATCACTTTTTATGTTTTATTGTTCAAGTTAGACACTTCATTAAATCAAACAGCCATTAAATTAACAAATGGCAGTCATTTTCAAGTCCATTAACTTCTATAAAACAATTTTTCACTTCAGGGAGGGACACAAAACATACGGCAACATTTCGGATCTGCTGTCCTGCAAACCAACGCAGCTGCTCAAGAACAGCTTCAAAGACCTCTGTCTGATGAGCAGGCAGCTTCTTCACTGCTGCACGCAACACATCTCCCAGCAGAGTCAACGTCACTGATGCACCAACCTGAATGCCTGTGAGCCAAAAGCAAGCCCAGATTAATTGTCAATATAACTTAACCTAAGCAGTGAAATACCACTAAAAGACTAGATTGAAGACCAGATAATTGAATGAATATATACTTCTAACTCTATAAAATTTGAATGTATTGTATTGACAAATAATATTTGCTTTAAGCCATCAAACAACATACTCAGACAAACGCATCCCTTTAGGTATATGACTCTCTTACCATCCTGAGTGTGCTGGATGATGTTTAGTTCAGGGATGTAAGCTGGTGCCAGAATCACAGGGTAAAGAAGGTTTTTGAACTTCATCTCAATACCTAGAAAAGAGACTCAAAGCAATTAAAATCAGCTGTGCGTTCTGCATTATGTTCTTTGAGCACACCACAAAGAAAAAACGAAGTTTTTTCACTCATAATATGTAACTATACTTATGGAATTTAACACAAGCAGTTGTTCCAAATATCAGCCCAAACAATGATAGATAGACCAAAAATACGATTGCTATGTGATATTTTATGCAACAGTTCAGTAAACAAGAAGTTAACATAGTGTAACTTGAATTTTAGACACATCATTGGCAGTTACTTTGACTATTTTTGCCTCACCAATAAAAAATAGTTTGTACTGTTTAGTGTCTCTGAGCAACACAGTTATTAGTTGTTGTTTTTTTTACAGAATGAATCAGCATTTTGACTGAAACAGTTGAATGAATGATTCATTGAGATGTAGCAACAATGTAACATACCAAAACAAAAAAGCAGAAAATCACTGCAGCTTTTGGCTGCATTTGAATACATCATACATCCCTACAATACAGTATGTAAAAAACAGTATGTTAAATGAGTATGTCAGAATTCATAGTATTCGTATAACAACAGTAGGACAATGACAACATGCAATACATCCCGATTACAGTGATACTATATAGAACATACTTTTTAAATGGTTGAGAAATAGACAAAAGAAGCACCCACTCAGAGAGTATGCCGTTTCGGATGCAGTCCTTGTCTAGAATAGGCAAACACAAAGCTGAGTGATTCTATTAATGTACATGGGACTCACCAACTTCTGTGTTCCCAACCACTAGTTTAGCATTTGGATAGGTCGCCTTTAGCTCCAAGAGTTCTTTGAGGGAGTAGGGTTGAATCCAAAGCACTCGTTCCCCAACAAATCTCAGCTCTCTCTGGGGCTGTTTACTTAGGCTCTGTAGAGCACAAATGTAACAAAGTACTGATGCATCTATTTAATACAGCAATCAGCCTCCTCATTTTACTATGATGGTTAATCAATGCAGATTAAACTCATTGTATACACACCATGAGCTCAGGTGGGAAAATAATCTCTTGGTGTTGGGTCCAGTGGCATAAACTCTGATTGGTCATACAATTTCTGAGCTGGAAGCGTTGAATTGTCCTAAAAATTTAAAAAGAAATGTTGAATTATTAGTAAAGTCCTTAGATAACATTCAGTACTGATAGGCAATACTGTGATTGTAAAACAGTGATCTTGAAGTATCTACTGTTTTATTTACTGTTATGTTTTAACCCACACTCATGTGAGGTCAAACCACATGAGTGTGGGTTAAAACATGTGACTGGTTTCCTATGAGACTGCAATGGCTGCCATGTCATTGATTTCTTATCCAAGTATGCTACAGGTTTATCCTAAATGGCAAGGGTTTAGGACAAAAATGTGTTTGTACTCAGAGAAAATAGAGAATGGTGTCTGGATGTCTGTTCTCACATTGACATGCTCTTGTATGTGTCCATTTGTCATGCAGCAGCCATTAGTTTGTCCTTTTCCACCACAACATCCCACATCCTGAAACTGAAAGAAGCAGATACTAAACAAAATATATTCCCTGTGGTAATTCTGTTGAATATTTTACATCAATGTATTTTTATACCAGCTCAGACTACGTGAACATATTCATCTTGCACTTGTAATAAGTCATACTTGCTTAGTAAATCTGAATTAAGCACAAGCTCACAGTACAGGACTGTAAATCTGCCTGAATTGCTGTGGTGCTCACTCTACACAAGTTTTTTTTTTTTTTGTCATCTGTCATCATCTTGTCATAGCAGTGTGCATACTATAAAACAAAATGCTGATGAGGTGCACAAACTGCAAAACATTTGGTCATGAGGCAATCCCAACCAACAATGAAAAAGGGTTTTCTCACATTTCTCAAATTCATGAGAAATTCGGGCAAGTGGATACAAGATTTTTACATTTATACCATCTGCACTGTGATTGGCTGGATTAGTTCCACCTGGTTGGTGCATCGCACACGCTACAAGACCATGTGGCAATAATATCAAACAGGTTTGAAAATATTACAGCGTCTATGACTGCTCAAGACTCACATCACATCACTGACCTGTTATCTTGTTTCAATTTTTATTATTTTTTTTTGTTGTGTTCACTGTTGAGTGTTGTGTTCACCTTCCCTACAACCTGAAAACTCCCTGCCAGCCAAACCGGTTCAGCGCCTGTGCACATCACTGACCTGTTATCTTGTTTCAATTTGTATTTTTTTTTTTTGTTGTGTTCACTGTTGAGTGTTGTGTTCACCTTTCCTACAACCTGAAAACTCCCTGCCAGCCAAACCGGTTCAGCGCCTGTAAGCTGAAAGCACTTGGCATGGGTTCCAGTGTTCCTCAACTTGTCTGTCTTTGATTTCTTTGCTCTTAGCTGTTGTTGGTCTGTTTCACACCTCCCTTACATACTTGTGCCTTGTCTGCTGTTTTGTCAAATTCATTCACTTTTATTAGTTTTTAGAACAATTATTACAAGTAAACATTCAATGTAGAATCCCATGAAACACTTCTATATTATATTTATTATTATTATTATTATTATAGCAGGCCTTACTCAGTTGTTCTTTTACCTTTGTGAATGTTCTGTAGCCTTCTAGAATAGGTCTGTAGCCAGTACAGCGACATAAATTGCCTGTGTGCAAACAATTTAAAAACTAAAAGATTTATTTAGAAAATATATATATTACCTTTAGGGATAAAATTTCAAAAGATGCAGAAGTTAGAAGACTCTTACTATACCTTGAAAGGCCTCCTGGATTTCATGCATACTGGGTCGAGGATTGTTTCTCAAAAGAGCGTACATAGACATCACAATTCCTGGAGTGCAGAACCCACACTGTGACCCATGAGCCTTTGCAATTCGCTCCTGGATAAAAACAGATTGTTGTTAGAGCTACTGCATCACAAATGAACAGGACACCAGCATATAAAGTGATACAGCTAATGTTAAAACTGTATGAATGGAGGAAGAAAGGGGTTATGCTTTAATGTTATAGTGTGACATGCTTTTATCATAATTATCTGCAATTCTGAGAGAATAAGATAAAACGGTGACCTGTACAGGATGGAGTTTGCTCGCCACACTGCCGATGCCATCCACAGTTGTTACTGCACAGTGATGCAAAGAGCATAGAGGAGCCAGACAGGCATTAACCGCATGGTGACTTAAAGAGTGCCGTCAAGGACATCATTATATAACTCTGGCATATGTTTCAGAATCCTTTACTACTGCTATATGAATTATTAACAGCTACCATGAACCTGTTATGTGCTTTAAGGACAGCAATGCACTTTATTTCAAGATGTGAGTGCTTAAAAAGATACATAATCCGGTTTTGATGTGGATGATATTTGGACACCATTACAGTGCAGGCTCCACAACCTCCTTCAGCACATCCCAGTTTGGTTCCCGTCAGACCCACTGCAAGTGTCGGCACTAAGGAAAACAGCTTGAAAACAATCACACTGAAAAAGGAAGTGTTACCAGATCAGTGTAGAAAATAATTACAAAGTACAAAATAATGTCAGTGTATGATTTCAGGGTCAATAACTGCAGCTGACATTCTCTGTAATCAAAAATGGCATGTTTGGATCAATAAATCTCACTTGTTTGACATCATATAGCAGTTGTGTAAATAATTAATGAAGACTGTCAAAATGACGAGGACAAAAACAAAGATTAAGCAATTATAAATACATACTGTAAGTGCAAACCAGGTTAAAGTGTTTTTTCTATCCAATATGACCCTTACAAATCTGACTTTTCAGATTTCATTTTGCCCATTTTCTGTAATTCAAGTCAAATGTTTGACTAGTTACAACATGAAGCACTTTTTTGGTTTACTGAAAGGCAGCAAAGAATCAACTAAATTCTCCTAAACTAAACTTAATTTATCATAAATGTATCCCAACGTTAAAATACGTAAGTTTTTTTAAAAATTATTATTATATCCTACTGTATAAATATAAATGTGTAGGACATCTTGTGTCTTGAACACACAGAAACAAATCAGTGCTTTTCATGAGCAAATACAACAACAATAAAAGAGCTGTAATTACTGACTGAAGTATTATAATAATTCATATATAATATTAATATATTATATGAAGAAATAAACTGACTGTGACGTGTACATGTGAGCAAACCTCAAGAATGAGTGACCCAAACCCCAGCAGACAGTTCAGTTTAACCAACAACATAACTCCAGAAGACAGGAATATCATTGTCTCATAAATCCTGTGGTTATGGTCTAATATTTTATAACTTTTTTTTTTTTTTAGAGAAAAGCAGCATTCAGATCTAACACAGAGACTGTTCAACAGAACAGAAGATCAAAAGGATACAGCTTCTCCTAAGATATGTCAAGAGTGTTATCTCAGGCTCAGCATTCTTTTCAGTGATCTGCACAGAATTAATAATGGAAAACGTTTGATTGGCTATACTGGCAATAAAGAAGTAATGCAACATTAATCAATGTAATTATTAATTTATCCAATTACCTTTTTTCCATTAACGAAAAAAACAAGGTCATCCCCTGTAGACTGAAGTTTGATTTTAGTCTCTTCCACTGTGAACGACATTTTAATGCCCACTGTTCCTGAGAACAAATCAGTGAGATGAGCGCTGCTGTGAGTGAGTGTACGAACTCTGAGCGCTGCGTCACGTGACCAGGTTCCAATAAGTGCCGTTGTTTGAAGAATGGCATGCAGCAGCAGGAGGGGTAGCAGGCTACACGAAAATTGATTAGCCTACTACTCTTTGTGAGAACTTGAGTTCAATATCCAAAACCTGACAATCATGACAATTGTAGTTAACGAGAAGATATTAAGCTCACATAGCCTAACATAATGTTTATATTAAGTTTAATGGGGCTGTTTTATAAGCATTGCGAAACGAAACATTAAATGCCTTTCAGTGAGTTATGCACACTTTTATTATTATTATTATTTATTAAAAACAATTCAGGACGCAATCTTTTGAGGTTCCTTTTGCGCAAACAAATTAGGCCTACACTGGAAAAAATTATATAGAACCACTGGTCTGTCCTATAATACAGATATATATCTATTTTATCTAGCCTATTATAGATCAGTGTGCAGAATCAATTTTCACTCAGAAATATAATAAATATAAATAAAATGTAAATAAACGGCAAGTAACACATTGAATTAAACATGAAATGTTGAAGTAAACTGATATTGTTTTATAATAAAAGCAAAACACACAAAGTAAGCCATTTATGTATTGCTTTAAAACGAAATGTATATTTCAAAAACGTTTGTCTGTGTGATGTAACCAATATGTTACTGCTAATAACATGACATAACGACATAAGTTAGCTCTGTCGTTGCTTATTTTGTTAAATAAACTTTTCATAAAATGTGAGGTCTGTTCAGTTCAAATGTACATGAGATTTCAAAGATCCGTAACAAGAAAAGCTCAATCTTACCAACACACAACTACAAACTGTTTGAGGTATATTTTGCTGTTTATTTCTTCCAGAGTTTCTTTCATGGCCAAAGCGAACAGAACCAGCGTACTGAGGCAAGTTAGGCTAGGTCTTATTTTCACATTCCTATGTCATAGCCTACAACATTTATAAACTTCTTAACGTGCATTGCAGTTGTGCATTGATTTACAAATATAAAAGTATTGACTATGCTGATAAATAATTGTTTTAATGTTGGCTAAAGACTAATATGATATTGTATTATAAGTATTTTTTTCCATTCTTTGCCTAATTTTATATGCTTCCAATAATTACCTAATTAAATTAATATTGAAAAAAAGACAATATTGGCAAATACTGATATATTATGTACCCGTCACAAATATTAAGTGTCTCTCGTTATATCTTTCAAAATTGTACACACTCTTGCATACTTTAGAAACTGGGACAGGGGTAGTTGCAGTTCGGAGTAATGGGAGTGGCAAAACGTGGCGTGCCGAAAGGTGAATACTACAATAGAAACTAACCCCTAACCCTAACCAATTAGAAAGACCTTTATCCACGCCCCCTACCTTTCGACACGCCCTAATCTTGCCGTTTCTTTTCAATCGTTTACTAGCAATTTCTGAGAGAAAATAGATTCTACACACTGATCTATAATAGATAAAATAGACATATAGGCTATCTGTATTACAACAGTGGTTCTATTTCCACGCCCCCTACATTTCGACACGCCCTAATTTTTCGCCACGCCCACTGCTCCAGCCTGCAGTTATCCCTGCTCAGCAGCAACATCATTTGGTGACCTTGTGTGGTAGTGTGTCCCAGAAATATCTAGAGTCTAGAAATATATTTTAAAAAAGACAGAATTTTGGCATTGTCATTTTTCTTCCTGCTCAAGTAGTGTTTCTTTTATATTTTCATTGTTGACTTTATTGTAACTCTTGACTCAAAGTCAATATTAATTATGTTCTAAAATATTTTATCCATCATAAAATCCAACTATGATCCCCAGAAACTCCCAAAAAATAGAGACAGAAGCTTTAATAGTTTTTTCCTGTCCCACTACCATGTAAACACAATATAAAAGAGGAGTTTTAAAAACTGCTGCTCATCTAAAAATGGCTGATTATCTGAAAAGTTTTAAATCGAAATATTTTGTGTTACATACTTTTCATAGAACGTTGGAACAATATGTTGATATGTTGGAACAATAATCCTGGGATTTATAGCTTCTCCAGGGTGTTAAAGGGGTCATATAATGCTTTTTTAAAGATCATTATTTTGTGTATTTGGTGTAACAGAATATGTTGACATGCTTTAATGTTCAAAAAACACATTATTTTTCAAATACTGTACATTATTGTAGGTCCTCTATGCCCCGCCTCTCTCAAACGCTTCATTTTCTACAAAGTCCCTCCTTCCGACAATCGCAGTCTGCTCTGATTGGCCAGCTGACCCAGTGCATTGTGATTGGC